AAGAGAAAGTTTGAACAGCAAGTGATGGTGCAGCTAATGAAGACAGAGTGTTGTGTAATGCAGTCTGAGATGCTGTAGTCCTGCAGTGAAGTGTGTGTGTGTATATTTGTTTGTGTTGGGGTGTGTGTGTGTGTGGGCTCTGACAGTAATGAGGAGGGGAAGGTTACTGACTCTACTTCTGGTAAACAGCTCCCTTGTTTGTCTCCTGCGTGCTGATTGGTAGCTTCAGGCTCATCCGAGCTTCCTGTAAGGAAACTTTGGGAACCCTGTGAACTCTTGAAGATGGTCTTTTCTGTAGCAGAGGATGGTCTATACACCATTTTCCACTGTATGAACAGTGTTGTGTATCGTCTTCCAGGGTTCCTTGTGCTCTCTGGTCATTGGGCTGCAACTAAACTTTGCATTGTTTCACCTTCGGGTCGTGATTTAACAGGGTACAATTTTAAGAAATCTAATTTTCTTTAACTTTTTTTTTTTTTTTTAATATCAGAGTTTGATCTGCAGTGAAAACTTATACACAATATAGTCCAAAAATTGATTGAACATCAATGGATAGAAACTTGGCAGATCCAGTTATGTTAAAATAATACAGATGATTAAAAGAAAAAGTAAAATGTGAAAACTTTATTGAAAAAAAATAGTCTAACATTATATATTACTGTTCAACAGTTTGTGGTCCGCAAGATTTTTTAAATGTCTTTGAAAGAAGTCTTTTACACAGCAGAGCTACATTTATTTGAATAAAAATACAGTAAAAACAGTATTATAGTGAAATATTATTGCAATTTAAAATACCTGTTTTCTATTTTAAAATGTAATTTATTTTCAGCAGCAATTATTCCAGTCTTCAGTGTCATATGATCTTTCAGAAATCATTCTAATAGGCTGTTAGGGTGCTCAAGAAAAGTAAAAAAAAAAAAAAATTTTTATTACTTTCAATGTTGGAAACAGTTGTGCTGCTTAATATGAAAAATATGATCAATGTAATATATCCTTGCTGAAAAAAAAATCATTTAAAAATGTGATATGACCTTTTTAAATGTTGCAAGAAGAGGTCACTGTACATGTAATCAAAAGGCTTTCCCGAGTGCAAATTTGACATGACAAAGAACTCATAAATGTTCTAGGCGGATGTTATTTCAGTCCTGCTACAAAATTCAAGGGTTTAAATCTCAAAACTGATCCAGTGTGGTTTGTGTGGAAATCCTTGAGCAATCAACTGAGGTTTTTGGCTCCATTTCTCCCAGCAAAACAGCGTGTTATTGCTGGATTCGGGGGAATCCTGGAGTGAATTCCATGGAAGTGTGTGTGTTGAGTACTTGCATGCTCAGATATTAGTTTCTATAGAAGAAGAAGTATTTATGTGTGTGCAAAGAGGCAAGATAAAATACATGCAAAGGAAGTGCTAAGTTCACTACATTCTTGCAGATATTTCCTCCTGAACGGCATGGTTCTTTTGTTCTTTCTGTGTTTTTGTGGATGTGGTGGTGTGTTACTGCATGCATGACAGGAGACATATAGGTTGCATAAGATGCTTTAGTTATGTGATTCCCACAGATTGACATAAAACCAGAGATGTTGTCTGCATTAATCAGATCTGGGATGGAAGTACGAATGCTCTGTTGAGTGTTTGGACATTTCACTCTGATTTAGTAATCTACTGTTCCCTAAATTAGATTCCTAAGTATTAGATTGTATGCTGTTTTTTTCTCTCTTTAGTGTGTGTTTGTGTGTGTGAAAGACAGGCTGGTTTACGGGCACTCAACCTCTGTATGCCATAACAAGTCCTACGCTATCAGGCAAATTACTTTAACCTTTTGACACCTACTCTGTTATTTGTCAAAACACGTGGTGTGGAAAACTAACAGCAGTGTTACACTGCAACACTACGGCCTCTGATGATTTACATGCTTCATACTGAAGAGCAGGATGTTGTAAACTGAACTGAGTCTGTTTTGTCACTGTAGATTAGATAAAATGATATATATGTAATTTTATATATATAAAATAACCTGTGCATTCTGTTTATTACATATTTATAGCCTATTTATATTTAAAAAATTAGTATTAAACAAAAGGTTTCTATCTCTTTCTTTCTTTTTTATGCACATGTGTTTTTAATTTAAATTCAATTCAAATTTTGTATTGCAGTAGTGGATTTTGACAGCTCTTGCCATTTCTGTTGCATTATGCATCAGAAGGCCAATGAACCGTCTGAGGCTGAGACTATTTTCTAATGACCCTCCTCTTTAGGACAGGTACACGCAGTCCAGCTCCCATTTAAATTTGTTTATGTGAATAAGCGCTACCCACTCTTGTACTGATATTTATACCCACATGCTGCTCGTGCTGCCACGGCCATTAAAACCAGAGCTCTGATCACATTAAATTTCCATTAGCCTCTGAGTCGTTAGCGCACATATGCTAACATTTAATGAAGTCTCCCGGACCAATCGAGATGACCAATGCGTGTTCCTTCGAGGAAGAAATCAGTTTCAGAATTCCTTGTTGTCATGGCAGCATTAACCAGGGGAAATTTCAGCCTCTTTTAGTGTCCTCATTTGCCACCCCTGTGCAGCATCTCTGTTTTCCAACTCTCCTCGCTAAGTGTTCCACTGAATCAGAGGTTTGGATTTGGAGTGGTCGCTAGTTTGGAAGGAAAATCTTGTGTGTTGGGGGAAAGAAGACGTGTTGGAGAGAATGATGGATGAAGAGAACAAGATGTGGAGAAGAACTGAACTGGACCAACTGCTGCCCATCTACTGCCATTCAATAGTAGTTGGTCGTCATTTCATTTGATTGGGAGCAATTGGTCTACAGTCCAGGAAGTTCCTCACAAAACACTACAGTAGAGCCCCCACATTTACAGATCTGCTATGATTTGAGAACACTATCAGAGTTGAAAAGAGGAAGGGAAAATCTCTAGAGGAGATTCTTTGCATTGGGTTCATGACTAGCAAATTTCGGAAGTGTTTCTGTTCTTCTTTCACTCTTAATTTTGTCATGAGCTTTCTTTCCTGTCAGGTCATCAGACTGCAATGTGTTTGACATTATTTTCATTGCTTGGTATCAATTTTGGTATTGTGTTGAGTAGCCTCGCCCACAGTGGAATCTCATTGGTCAAAAATCTCACTCCACTTTGCTTTATATTAAAAACCAACTGTTCTTATTGGCTGTTATTGTGATGTGTCATGCAGCATTTGCTTTTTTAGTGTAAACAGACAAATTTCTTGTCACTGGAAGGTTTTCCTGGTTTGAACATAGTGTTAATCACATGTAGAAGTTGAAACCAAGCGTAATTATCTTTGGTAATGATTTTCCTACCGTATGCAAAGAAGCTCAATAATGCTCTTGTGTTTGAAGCCACTTTGCATTCACTTAGTCCACATTTAAGGAAGCGACACCCTCAACCACTCTCTTTTGCTTCATCCAGAATATTTTGATTTCTGATTCACAGACTTTGAGTTCTTCCATCTCTGGTGGAGTTCTCGAACATAATTTCGGAAATCTGGGATAGGGTTAACGGAGGAGATTCTCTTGGTGGTTCATTGAGTAACATTGTTATCTGATCCCTCATATACTGGCATCCATATGATCCATTGATTGCTCCAAAAGATTGAGGGTAGGACCGGTAAATCTGGACGTGTGGTTAGACCAAGCAGTTCAAGCCCTTAAACAGCTGTGGTGACTCAGCATCCAGAAATCCCCCAGATGATGGTGCAGAATGTGATTCTGTTATAATTGGTGATGAATGAGATGCAGTGATGCTTGAGGCAGTTAAGTAGTAAGCAAACAAGCAAGGAGTGATGTGATGCAATGGAAGAGACTAGAGTGGCAATGAGGGTTTGAGGGTTTAGATGAGCCCTCCAGAGATATGGAGGAAGTTCAGGCTCTCACGGACACACCAGTCATGCTGACCTTGGAAATTCAGAGTTGTTTTTGCATGTTTACATACAGTAACCGTTAACTGTTGTGCATTGCATGGACAAAAGTAAATTTGTTTTCACCAGGGCTTGTGTGGTGAGTGATACTGGATGTGAGTTAAAGGGAAAGATTTGCTAAGATTGGGTTATGTATATAAATATATTGGGTTATATAACAAATTGAGTTTGCTGAGAGAGAGAGAGGGGTGGGGTAGTTAATCAAGGGTGTGCCTTCAGGCCACTCATCGTGACAAAACATGCCGTGACCTCGGTCACTGGGCACCCCCTCGCCACTCCACCCTGTTTTGCTTGCAGTGAAGAGAGTCTTTCCCGTTACAGTGTCTGGGAGTCTCTTAGTGGCCATGGCATTTTTCCCAACAGCAAGCGAGGATTTTTTCCGAAACCGCTTTGGTTCTTGCTTCACAGTGAGGCGTTGTTTTCAAAGCAAACTAGTGTTTGCTCATGCCTTGTAATGGGGTTTTGTGGTTGAAACACACCACACCAATCTCTTCTGCTTTTCAATGCTTTTTTGTATTTGGGTATGCAGTGGGTGGGTGTGTATGTGTGTGTGACTTAAGGTAGTGAAAGGAGATGATTGCTTCTCATTCCCCACATCTTAGAGCACATGTACATGCATACAGTAGATACAAACACACACACTCCTGGCTGCTCTTATATAATAATCAGTAATTGCATTCTAATATTGGATATATTCTTAGTGTGCATATCCCTCCCACACATACAGAGCAGATTATATGAAATTTGAAATGTCTGCTGTACATGTGAAATATGGGGAAGAACGGTCAAGTGTCTTTTGCAGGCCATTACTGTAATTATATTATATTATGTTACTGTTTTGCTGTTGTAAAATTAAGCCTTGAAATATTGGTAGATAAGGTAACCAATATTTCTATTATTGATAAAACGGTGTACTGTATATATTAAAAGACAAATTTATTCTTCCATGTTTGACACATTTTGATGATCTGTTTTAAAAGCTGTATTTTGAAATGCCACATCATTGTGCCATTATTATTCACTATTGGGTTTGGCTAAAATGAAACTCTTTATTTTCAGATAAAATAGAGGAGGCACAGAAGGAGCTCAAAGACCCCAAAGTTGCGCACAAAGGTATGATTCATCATATAAAACAACATCCCTTTCAAATGCAACATCAACAGGAAGCTTCTCTCTCCCCCTCCTTAATATCAGAGATGTACGAGCTCATCTGTGGGTTTAAAAGGGAATAGCTGGGTTTCTTTGTGCGGCAGTTGAATTGCTCTGTTCATTACAGCAATCACTTTCCAAGGCAGAAGCTTGTCTGTGTTGAATCCAGGGAATCCAGAAATTCCGGAATATTGTTTCAAACATACCTTAATTCAGCTTTCCAAAGCAAACACCATTTGCTTGTACTGGATTGCATCTGTGACCAGGTTCTCTGGTCTGCCAGCGTGCTGCTTTCGAAGGTGTACTGGATGTTCTGGGGGTTTCCAGAAGTTCCTGGACCTCTGTTGGTCACTGCATTTAGCTCTGCTGCACTTGCACTCTGTGAATGAACCTGCCACACTGTACATCCTTAGCTTGATCAAAAAATGCAGGAGCAGCTATTTAAAAGCCACGTTTCACCAGCATGCATGGAAAAACCGCATAGATGTTGCATAATAGGCTGGAATGGGAATGTGTTATTGATTATGTAAAAGCAAAAATGAAAAACTCTGAAGTGAATAAGCTGTTACAGTCTTTGTTTATATGAGAACATGGCACTCTGAAGCAGCACCTTGCACAATGTAAATAAATGTAATCCTTTGTTACCATAATACAATAATATGGCCATACTTACAGTATCTACAGTGGTAGCATGAAGGATTCATTTTGCATGTGTTCAGTTTACTCTGGCCCTATTTTTCTTAGTGGTCATGTTTACAGGTTACATCAGAATGCAACTGGTTTAAGAATGAGTAAACCACTTCTCAAAATACAGCAGGCAGTGATGTCACCAGTCATCTCCACGTTAATCCTGAATCCGTTAAAGGCAGTTAATTAGCTCAGAGCTCATGGATGTCCTCACATCCTCTTTCTACATTCTCTAGAAACATGTAAGGAAGTTTTTCTGTTGATCACTCACTTACTAAGGTTACAAACAAAATAAAGTTAGATTGAAGTATTGGTGAACTCCTAACAGGCCTTTTGAATTTCTGGGGAATTCCTGAGGCATCCAGGAAATTATGACTTTGTAGTTCTAACACCTAACCACTTCTCTCCACCAACCATGCCAAGCAACGTAAAGAAAGGAAACCCTAATAAGTGCAGGGTTGCCACAGATGTTCAGGCTTGGTTACGTGTTTTGTAACTACTTGGCATCAGGCACACAAAGAGTCTTCAGTATAACTTTAAGACCACAGGGAGTCCAAACACAGCAAATGCGGTAAACTCTGCCTATGAGCAATTGTGGACAATATTCAGTTGTGTATGCGCTTCGCCATGTTTCCTTTTCCAAATTAAGAGTGATTTGTTTTCTGCCAGATGTTGACTTAGGTGCTCAGGTCTTACTGGCCAGAGTATCTGGATCATGTTCAATCCAGGGACAGATTTAATTAATTCACACAAGCTTTTTCATCCACATAAACACCTACATGCAACTTATTTCGTATTGTCTTTCTCTGCCAATTGACTGAGAGAGAATAGAAATAATAGAACAAGGTAAGGCTCATCCTCACTAACACAATTGCAGTATTGAATGAGATGTAGGAGAGCAAGTTAGGGAGGGTTTGGAGAGGGAGAGCGAGAGAGGGATGGTGACAGAGGGTTGAGAAACGGAGAGTGGGTTTTGTACATAATGATGCGTGGGCCTCAGTAGCAGCTCAGGAGATCTTCTAGATTCCAAAACAGTCTTGTCTATGTGCTAGCTGTCAGAGGCACTGGTGCAGCTAATAGAGAACTGGGTTTGCTAAGAAAAGGATTATTTTATTTTATTGTAAATTGTAGTGCTTCGTCCACCTTATAATTCATCAAAACTCGTTGCTTGGGTATGTTTTGGTTTGTCTGATATTAGCAAGATTTTTGCTGTTGTTGACTTGTCTGTATATCTTTTTTGGGTAATTTGTGCTGTTAAACAGAGTTTATCTTGATGTTTAGGTGTTGTAGAAAGTGCAGTCTATGGTTTGATTTTGTTTTGCTTACGAACTTTGCATGATGAAAGGTATTCAGCTAGACGAGGAGGAAATGAAAGCAGAAAATAACAGACATGTTTGTTTTGAAGATTGTTAGGAAAATGCATGGGCAATTTGTGTGTTGAAAGATGACATAAATGTTGACTACAAGCTGTATTCGAGCACACTAACAGATTTGTCTATGACTTTGGCTTTTTCTGTGACTTTGTCTAAGATATACATTCTATGTTATTGTGCACTACACTGAATTGCACTGTCAAAAATAAAACATCATATAATTATTGTAATACGTCAATAATTAATTGCTCAGATGCCAGTTGTTTCAGTTAACAATCTTGTTATAATAAAAATTCTAAGGATAATGTAATCAAAGGACATGGTTTATTTTAATTTTGAGAAATTTTAAAGTTATTTGAAAATGTGTATTATTTAACCTTTACAAATCTCTTTGATGAATTGTGTAACCCTATTGATTTTCTTCTTTGTTTAAGGATTTTTTTTTTAAAGTAACCTTGTAGTTGTTCATAAAAATTTATGTATTTAAATAATTTTTTATTTAATATTTAATTTTAAAAAATCACAAAAGGTATTGGGCATAATAATGAATGTTTTATTTTTTGGGGGGGAATTTTTCATTACAATTATTTTTCCTACAGACATAAATCAAAGTACTGGCAGAAACTCTGAAAGCATCAAAGGACTGAAGAGGAAAAAAGTTGTGGCACAAAACCAGCTAAAGAAAATACCCAAATCTCCCGTCAAAAAGCAATCACAGACCAAGAAATCAGTTTCTCCAAGCATATCTTCTTCATCCAAGGAAGCCACACCCCCCTCCTCTTCTTTTTCAAGCAGTCCATCGCATGGATTGCCTGAACCTCAAGATACTGAAGATGCACCACATGATGCATCTGGATCTAGAGCAGTAAAAGTGGAGCACAAGGAGTTATTAACCTTAGAGCCACAGGCTCTCAGCCACAAAAGTGCTGCAGAGGTACCTTCTGCCGCAAGGCCTGTGCAGGCAGAAATCTGGTGTGGCAACGGCAGCAACAAAAACGCATCTCCGTCTCACACAAGTGCTCCCCTTGAGGTACTGCTTAAGGCTATGGAGCCAGATTTCAATACACTGACAGAAAGGAAGAACAGCAGTCCAATAAGGCATCTTGGAAAATCAGTTTCCATTCCTGTCACTTATTCAGACTATGCTATGACTATGCCTGCTGTAAATTTCAATATCCAGTCACAACCCTCATTTGTGCCACCATTCAACACAGCCAAACAGTTCTACAGTAGTGTGGCATCTACAGGGCAACACACAACACAGCAGTATGTGAACATGTCAGGAAATCGTCAGCAGGACAAACCAGGATTCCAGAAAAGTCCTTCACTTACCTTGACACACGCACCTGTTCCATCTGGATCAGGCGGCTTCCCTCAGAGCCAGCCCCCCGTTGTTCAAACATGCCAGTCTTTGTCAGCCACAGTACCAAACTCAATTCAAGTCCCTGTCACACCAGGTTTCAACCCTGTTCAGATGACAGCTGTGGTCAACTTCGGTGCAAGCCAAGTATCTGATATCTCTGCAAAAGATCAAAAACCAAAAAAGCAAGGAAAATATGTCTGTGAATACTGTAAAAGAGCTTGTGCCAAGCCAAGTGTGCTTCTAAAACACATACGGTCCCACACAGGAGAGAGACCTTACCCATGTGTGACATGTGGTTTTTCATTTAAGACAAAGAGCAACTTATACAAGCATAAGAAGTCTCATGCGCATGCTATCAAACTGGGTCTGGTAAAAGACTCCGGAAGTGGATCCCTATCTCAAGAGTCGGACAAAGGCCTGGCCACACATTCTGATGTGGAGGAAAGCGGGGACAGTGATGAGGAAGGTAGTGCAGCGGACTTAGACCCGGATTCTTCACAAAGCAGCCTGACGGCATTGTCTGAGAGCAGTCTGCAGAGTGCAGGTATGGTACCAGGAAGCCAAGGAGAATCAGAGCCTTCGCTGGTGTTTGAAACTCTGAAACCACTGGTTGCTCAGAAAGGATGTGAGCCAAAGGTCACTGCTGCTCTCCCTAAAGTGGTTGTCCACCCTGTAAATGTTTCGCCTTTGCGTGCAGACAGCCCAAGAGTTACAGATTTGGCACCTGAACATGCCACAGCCCAGAGGCAAAGGGATTTCCAGACAGCAAACATACGGTCCAATGTAATGGTTCTGTCCTCACTGAAAGAAGTGGATTGCACAAGTCCTCTACAAGATTCAGTTAGTGAAGATGAAGATCAGCATTGTAAATCACCACTAGGAGGCAGCCATGCCCAGCTACAAAGGCAACAAGCAACTGATTACTCTCAACAGTCACAAGGCAAGTGTCTGCTAAGTCCTCGGAGTCTTGGAAGCACGGACTCTGGCTACTTTTCACGTTCTGAGAGTGCAGATCAAGCTATGAGTCCCCCAAGTCCTTTTGTTAAGATAACTCCACCAGCAGAAAATGACATTACAAAAGCCCTACAAGTTCCCCCTTCCTCAGTTGTGGCAACTGTCATGCATGTAGCACCTGTCGAAAGGCCTCGAGTTTCTTCAGGACAAATGCGTCCTCCATTAGAAACCAAAGCTCTATCTCTTGAGGAGCGTATCTCAAAGCTGATCTCAGACAATGAGGCTGTTGTGGATGACAAACAACTAGACAGTGTCAAACCCAGACGGACTTCCCTTTCCCGAAGGGGTAGCATTGACTCCCCTAAATCCTACATATTTAAAGACTCTTTTCAATTTGATTTAAAACCACCAGTAAGAAGATCTAGTTCCAACTCAGACATACCGAAATCTCCATTCACTCCGACAGACAAATCCAAGCCAGTATTCCTTCTTTCTGTACCACCTCAGTATCCAGCTATGGACTGTTTACCAATTACAAGAAGCAATTCGATGCCTACAACACCTGGTCAGTCAGCTCTCTTCCCCAATGTAACACCTCAGCCTCACCCACTTAGGATCTGTCATTCATTTGATGACAAGATTAGTTCACTAAATGATGATGTGTTCTCTTCAGCTCCCTCTACTCCCAATCCTGCTGTACATCCTCGTACACTAGTGAGACAGGTAGCAGTTGAGGATTTGTCCACAAATGATGGTCACGTTCTTATCTCTGTTCATTCCATGGATGAGAGCCATCATGGACCAAGTATTACACATGAACTACGAAGTAAGTCTTTTGAGCATGCAACAGAAAGAAACCGAAAACCCCAGCAAAACAAAGGGACAATGTACGAATGTGAGACTTGTCGCAACCGTTACAGAAAACTGGAAAATTTTGAAAATCACAAGAAGTTTTATTGTTCTGAACTGCATGGTCCAAAAAACAAGCCTATGCATGCCAGAGACATTGAGACAGAAGTTTTCAGACGTGGAATTCAGCAGCCCCTTTTAAACAGAAATGCTGTAATTACCGATATTTAATTTTAAAAAATCACAAAAGGTATTGGGCATAATAATGAATGTTTTATTTTTTGGGGGGGAATTTTTCATTACAATTATTTTTCCTACAGACATAAATCAAAGTACTGGCAGAAACTCTGAAAGCATCAAAGGACTGAAGAGGAAAAAAGTTGTGGCACAAAACCAGCTAAAGAAAATACCCAAATCTCCCGTCAAAAAGCAATCACAGACCAAGAAATCAGTTTCTCCAAGCATATCTTCTTCATCCAAGGAAGCCACACCCCCCTCCTCTTCTTTTTCAAGCAGTCCATCGCATGGATTGCCTGAACCTCAAGATACTGAAGATGCACCACATGATGCATCTGGATCTAGAGCAGTAAAAGTGGAGCACAAGGAGTTATTAACCTTAGAGCCACAGGCTCTCAGCCACAAAAGTGCTGCAGAGGTACCTTCTGCCGCAAGGCCTGTGCAGGCAGAAATCTGGTGTGGCAACGGCAGCAACAAAAACGCATCTCCGTCTCACACAAGTGCTCCCCTTGAGGTACTGCTTAAGGCTATGGAGCCAGATTTCAATACACTGACAGAAAGGAAGAACAGCAGTCCAATAAGGCATCTTGGAAAATCAGTTTCCATTCCTGTCACTTATTCAGACTATGCTATGACTATGCCTGCTGTAAATTTCAATATCCAGTCACAACCCTCATTTGTGCCACCATTCAACACAGCCAAACAGTTCTACAGTAGTGTGGCATCTACAGGGCAACACACAACACAGCAGTATGTGAACATGTCAGGAAATCGTCAGCAGGACAAACCAGGATTCCAGAAAAGTCCTTCACTTACCTTGACACACGCACCTGTTCCATCTGGATCAGGCGGCTTCCCTCAGAGCCAGCCCCCCGTTGTTCAAACATGCCAGTCTTTGTCAGCCACAGTACCAAACTCAATTCAAGTCCCTGTCACACCAGGTTTCAACCCTGTTCAGATGACAGCTGTGGTCAACTTCGGTGCAAGCCAAGTATCTGATATCTCTGCAAAAGATCAAAAACCAAAAAAGCAAGGAAAATATGTCTGTGAATACTGTAAAAGAGCTTGTGCCAAGCCAAGTGTGCTTCTAAAACACATACGGTCCCACACAGGAGAGAGACCTTACCCATGTGTGACATGTGGTTTTTCATTTAAGACAAAGAGCAACTTATACAAGCATAAGAAGTCTCATGCGCATGCTATCAAACTGGGTCTGGTAAAAGACTCCGGAAGTGGATCCCTATCTCAAGAGTCGGACAAAGGCCTGGCCACACATTCTGATGTGGAGGAAAGCGGGGACAGTGATGAGGAAGGTAGTGCAGCGGACTTAGACCCGGATTCTTCACAAAGCAGCCTGACGGCATTGTCTGAGAGCAGTCTGCAGAGTGCAGGTATGGTACCAGGAAGCCAAGGAGAATCAGAGCCTTCGCTGGTGTTTGAAACTCTGAAACCACTGGTTGCTCAGAAAGGATGTGAGCCAAAGGTCACTGCTGCTCTCCCTAAAGTGGTTGTCCACCCTGTAAATGTTTCGCCTTTGCGTGCAGACAGCCCAAGAGTTACAGATTTGGCACCTGAACATGCCACAGCCCAGAGGCAAAGGGATTTCCAGACAGCAAACATACGGTCCAATGTAATGGTTCTGTCCTCACTGAAAGAAGTGGATTGCACAAGTCCTCTACAAGATTCAGTTAGTGAAGATGAAGATCAGCATTGTAAATCACCACTAGGAGGCAGCCATGCCCAGCTACAAAGGCAACAAGCAACTGATTACTCACAACAACCACAAGGCAAGTGTCTGCTTAGTCCTCGGAGTCTTGGAAGCACTGACTCTGGCTACTTTTCACGTTCTGAGAGTGCAGATCAAGCTATGAGTCCCCCAAGTCCTTTTGTTAAGATAACTCCACCAGCAGAAACTGACATTACAAAAGCCCCACAAATTCCCCCTTCCCCTGTTGTGGCAACTGTCATGCAAGTAGCACCTGTTGAGAAGCCTCGAGTTCCTTCAGGACAAATGCATCCTCCATTAGAAACCAAAGCTCTATCTCTTGAGGAGCGTATTTCAAAGCTGATCTCAGACAATGAGGCTGTTGTGGATGACAAACAACTAGACAGTGTCAAACCCAGGAGGACTTCCCTTTCCCGAAGGGGTAGCATTGACTCCCCTAAATCCTACATATTTAAAGACTCTTTTCAATTTGATCTAAAACCACCAGTAAGAAGATCTAGTTCCAACTCGGACATACCAAAATCTCCATTCACTCCGACAGACAAATCCAAGCCAGTATTTCTTCTTTCTGTACCACCTCAGTATCCAGCTATGGACTGTTTACCAATTACAAGAAGCAATTCGATGCCTACAACACCTGGTCAGTCAGCTCTATTCCCCAATGTAACACCTCAGCCTCACCCACTAAGGATCTGTCATTCATTTGATGACAAGATTAGTTCACTAAATGATGATGTGTTCTCTTCTGCTCCCTCTACTCCCAATCCTGCTGTACATCCTCGTACACTAGTGAGACAGATAGCAGTTGAGGATTTGTCCACAAATGATGGTCATGTTCTTATCTCTGTTCATTCCATGGATGAGAGCCATCATGGACCAAGTATTACACACGAACTGCGAAGTAAGTCTTTTGAGCATGCAACAGAAAGAAACCGAAAACCCCAGCAAAACAAAGGGACAATGTACGAATGTGAGACTTGTCGTAACCGTTACAGAAAATTGGAAAATTTTGAAAATCACAAGAAGTTTTATTGTTCTGAACTGCATGGTCCAAAAATCAAGCCTATGCATGCCAGAGAGATTGAGACAGAAGTTTTCGGACGTGGAATTCAGCAGCCCCTTTTAAACAGAAATGCTGTAATTACCGGCATTGTAGAGCAACCACTCATGGTAAGAAAAAGAAGGAAAATTAAAAGTGTTGGAGATGATGATGACCAGTCTCCAACTGAGACCACTCCTCCATGTTCAAGAAGTTTTGACTCCTGCCAGACCTCTACAGGTTCGATAGGGCGACCTTATTCTCAACATACCCAGTCCTTAAGTAACACTGCTGTTTTAGGACAGATACAGATCATTGGCAGAGCTGCAGAATCACAGGAGTCAAGACTATCTCCAATAAGAGAGGCTCAGATCAGCACACCAAATAAAGAAAGAGGAGACCTCCAGAGACAAGGAAGTGGAACTTCAGTCATTCGACATACCAACTCTCTCAGTCGACCAAATTCTTTTGAAACATCTGAGTCCATTGACAGGTCATCTCCAGTTGATCCTGTGGAAAAGGAAGTAAAGAGCTCTGTAAAAGGTCATAAAGAGGCTGCCGTGAATTTATCTTCACAAAGTTACCATGACAGAATGTCTACACCCAAATGTGCCAGCCAAGGAATGGAATCTCATGGTAAGCAAACCTTTGCCATTGCTAGTGATGGCACACCTGTACAGCAATCACGGCTTGTGCGGCAGAACAACATTCAGGTCCCTGAAATCTTAGTAACAGAGGAACCAGACAGAGATCATGAAACTCCAGTTGTAGAATCAACAGAGAAACCTGCAGAAACATTCAACTGGCCTCAGAGGAGTGAGAGCTTGTCTAAACTGCCAACAGAAAAACTCCCCCCAAAGAAAAAGCGCATAAGACTTGCTCAAATGGAACACTCTTCTGGTGAATCTAGCTTTGAGTCAAGTCTCTCTTGTAGCCTCAGTAGAGATAGTAGCTTGTCAAGGTGCTCTAGTATTTCAGCCTCTTTTGACAGAGATGATCCACCAAGATCTGACAGCCCATCAAGGGCTGATAGTGTTGGGAAGCCACCACAAGCTCAAGGGATCCCTGTAGCAAACAACACTCTTGGAGTGCCAGGCATGATGAGACGTGCTACCTCAGAACAAATCAGCTGCACTCAGTCATCATTGGAGATTTCTTGTGACTACCGTAGCAAATCCTTTGATTGCAGCAGCATGTCACCCAGCAGGCCTTTGTCACCAATTCAGACTGCCCTGCTAAAAATGACACACTGTCCTCCAACTACCCAGGTGCCTCTCATTGAAAGAAGAAGGGGTCCTCTGGTACGTCAGATGTCCTTAAAGATTGCACCAGAACCTCAATTGCCAGTGAAACAGACTCCCCCCATCCAAAGAGTCCCCTTCACTAATGAATGCTCTGGGTCCCAACCTAGATCAGTAAATATGAACACATCTACACGTGTTCAGTCTGTTGCTCTACATTCTGGAGAGGCTCCACTACTGAAAAATGAGCAAGTGATTCAAAGCATCAACCTTGGAAGCCAAACCCAACAACTCCAGGTTCATGGTCTTCCACATCCATGGCATCAGACCTCAAGGGTTGTGGCATGGCATGTGCAACCTCTAGTCCAAATGGTGGCTGGTCAGACAGATGTTCAGAAGAGCTCTGATGAAAAAAATAACAAGAGCTTTGTACCTAAATACCAAATGAATTGCCCTGTTCTAAAAACAGGCCAGATATATTCTTTAGCAGGTGTACAAGGGACACAGATCACTTTGCCAGTGATAACTATACCAGTGGCTAATGAAATGAAAGTCTCTCTGTCAAATGATGGAATGCAAAATGTCTATGTAGCACAACCAGGTTATCAGGCTGTAATCAATAAGCCCCCAATTGTACTGCCTGCTGGTCCGCAAGTTGATACAGCGTCTCATATAACACCAATATCTACACCTGTACCACAGATTCTAATCACCCATGAGCACACCCTAGCACCTGCTACTGTGGTTTCTAAGGTTAACTTCCCTACGGTACATGTTGCGAACTGTGATTCAAAGACTGGACCAGAAATTCAAGCTCGCAGGCAACCTGGGTCTGTTGCTGTACAGATGAAAAACAACAATAGGAAATCTACTGAACAAAATCAAACCACTGAGCAAAGCATCCTGTCCCTCGGTTCACTGCATTGTACACAAAAACTGGCATCTGCAAATTTATGCCCCCAAGAGTCTACTGCCTCAAGTAAGCGTA